GTGTTGGAGTGGTTGGTATTTTTGTTTAATAAATGTATGAAAGAGGGGAAGGTACCTAAGGATTGGCAGTGAGCATGTATAGTCCCTTTATATAAAGGGAAGGGGGACAAAAGAGATGGTAAAAATTATAGAGGAATAAGTTTACTGAGTATACCAGGAAAAGTGTACGGCAGGGTTATAATTGAAAGAATTAGAGGTAAGACAGAATGTAGGATTGCAGATGAGCAAGGAGGTTTCAGAGTGGGTAGGGGATGTGTAGATCAAGTGTTTACATTGAAGCATATATGTGAACAGTATTTAGATAAAGGTAGGGAAATTTTATTGCATTTATGGATTTAGAAAAGGCATATGATAGAGTGGATAGGGGAGCAATGTGGCAGATGTTGCAAGTGTATGGAAGAGGTGGTAAGTTACTAAATGCTGTAAAGAGTTTTTATGAGGATAGTGAGGCTCAGGTTAGGGTGTGTAGAAGAGAGGGAGACTACTTCCCAGTAAAAGTAGGTCTTAGACAGGGATGTGTAATGTCACCATGGTTGTTCAATATATTTATAGATGGGGTTGTAAAAGAAGTAAATGCTAGGGTGTTTGGGAGAGGGGTGGGATTAAATTATGGGGAATCAAATACAAAATGGGAATTGACACAGTTGCTTTTTGCTGATGATACTGTGCTCATGGGAGATTCTAAAGAAAAATTGCAAAGGTTAGTGGATGAATTTGGGAATGTGTGTAAAGGTAGAAAGTTGAAAGTGAACATAGAAAAGAGTAAGGTGATGAGGATATCAAATGATTTAGATAAAGAAAAATTGGATATCATATTGGGGAGGAGTAGTATGGAAGAAGTGAATGTTTTCAGAAACTTGGGAGTTGACGTGTCGGCGGATGGATTTATGAAGTATGAGGTTAATCACAGAATTGATGAGGGAAAAAAGGTCAGTGGTGCGTTGAGGTATATGTGGAGACAAAAAACGTTATCTATGGAGGCAAAGAAGGGAATGTATGAAAGTATAGAAGTACCAACACTCTTATATGAGTGTGAAGCTTGGGTTGTGAATGCAGCAGCGAGGATGCGGTTGGAGGCAGTGGAGATGTTCTGTCTAAGGGCAATATGTGGTGTAAATATTATGCAGAAAATTCGGAGTGTGGAAATTAGTAGAAGGTGTGGAGTTAATAAAAGTACTAGTCAGAGGGCTGAAGAGGGGTTGCTGAGGTGGTTTGGTCATTTAGAGAGAATGGATCAAAGTAGAATGACATGGAGAACGTATAAATCTGTAGGGGAAGAAAGGCGGGGTAGGGGTCTTCCTCAAAAAGGTTGGAGGGAGGGGGTAAAGGAGGTTTTGTGGGTGAGGGGCTTGGACTTCCAGCAAGCGTGCATGAGCGTGTTAGATAGGAGTGAATGGAGACGAATGGTATTTGGGACCTGATGATCTGCTGGAGTGTGAGCAGGGTAATATTTAGTGAAGGGATTCAGGGAAACCAATTATTTTTATATAGCAGGACTTGAGTCCTGGAAATGGGAAGTACAATGCCTGCACTCTAAAGGAGAGGTTTGGGATATTAGCATTTTGGAGGGATATATTGTGTATCTTTATAGGTACAGGTCCTCCATCACAAATCTGGCATCATTGGGACCTGTAGTGTGCCGGATTACTGAGTTTGCCGAATTACAGAGTGGTTAGGTTAGAATACACTTAATAAAATTAACCAACTTGACTTACACAGTTCATTGAACATCGGCAAAAATTGGACATTTCCGCTACTTTGAGCTCAATTTCAAGGTACTTTTCTTCATGAAAGCAATCAAAATCATGTGTATTTCTGTAATATATCTTCCATTCTATCAAATGAGTCCAAAAAAATGAAAATACAACCATAAAAAACATACGAAAATATACTGCAAAGAGGCGGCTAATGGCTGAGAAGTTAACTCCCCCTTATTTATCGTCCGTGTTTTTTATTTTTGTTGTACGTTAAGAAGCATCTTTCCATGATACATTGCCCAAATTTCAATGAGATAGCCCAACAAACAACCGAGAAAAAAATATTTACCAAAAATCATATATGGCAAGGCCAAGCCAGGTACTGGAAATAAGTCACTTTGTCTGACTTTTCTGGGTTATCCTAGGTTCTCTATACATACACTGCTATGTATGATAATCTATGTAAATGTATTTGTGTATACCTTAATAAACTTATTTACTTCTAGTTTGTCAACTGAGTACAAGAAACCGCCCATTCACTTATTTCAACTATCCAATAAAGTGGTCAGAAATTGGCAATTTGGCCAATTTCACACAAATTTCAGCAGATGCCAATTTCAAAATAGGGTCCAGAATAAACAATGCAGACATTCCTGGCACTAAAATAACATTTTATCTGTTCATTAGTCATGGCTACAGGCCCCTCTTATATTACTCTTGTTTACCATTTGGAATTTTTATTCACAAAAAAAAAAAAAAAAATAGAAGATTTACTGTTATGCATACTACTGCATTATTGTAATAATTGTATAAATAATGTCAAGCCATTCTTGACTCCGTACTGGAATTTGGGCTGGCAGGTGGACAGGTATTGGACGGTATTGTTTACTCTTGAGCTTCGCTAAAGAATAGAACATTTTCGCTACTGTGAGTGCAATTTCAAAGTACTTTTCATCATGAAAGCAATCAAAATCATATCTATTTCTGTTATATATCTTTCATTCTATCAAATGAGACCGAAAAAATGAGAATATAACCATAACAACCATACAAAAATATACCGCTAAGCGGCCGCTAATGGCTGAAAAGGGAGCTCTGCTATTTATGGTCTGATTTCTTTCATTTTTGGTGTACATGAATAAGTATCTTTCCATCATACATTGCCCAAGTTTGAATAAGATAACCCAACAAACAACTGAGAAAATAATAATAATAAATAATAATACTAATAATAAATATAAATGAACAGTATATAGATAAGGCTAAAGAGGTTTTTGTGGCATTTATGGATTTGGAAAAGGCATATGACAGGGTGTATAGGGGGGCAATGTGGCAGATGTTGCAGATGTATGGTATACGAAGTAGGTTACTGAAAGCAGTGAAAAGTTTTTACGAGGATAGTGAGGCTAAAGTTAGAGTATGTAGGAAAGAGGGAGATTATCTCCCAGTAAAAGTAGGCCTTAGACAAGGATGTGTGATGTCACTGTGGTTGTTTAATATATTTATAGATGGGGTTGTAAAAGAAGTAAATGCGACGGTCTTGGCAAGAGGTGTGGAGTTAAAAGATAAAGAATCACACATAAAATGGGAGTTGTCACAGTTGCTCTTTGCTGATGACACTGTGCTCTTAGGTGATTCTGAAGAGAAGTTGCAGAGGTTGGTGGATGAATTTGGTAGGGTATGTAAAAGAAGAAAATTGAAAGTGAATACAGGAAAGAGTAAGGTTATGAGGATAACAAAAAGATTAGGTGATGAAAGATTGGATATCAGATTGGAGGGAGAGAGTATGGAGGAGGTGAATGTATTCAGATATTTGGGAGTGGACGTGTCAGCGGATGGGTCTATGAAAGATGAGGTGAATCATAGAATTGATGAGGGGAAAAGGGTGAGCGGTACACTTAGGAGTCTGTGGAGACAAAGAACTTTGTCCTTGGAAGCAAAGAGGGGAATGTATGAGAGTATAGTTTTACCAACACTCTTACAAAAAAAAAAAAAAAAAAAAAAAAAAATTAATCCGTTCCAGAAACCCAAAAAAATACATTTTATAGATGTTATTACATTATAGTTTTACATACACACAACAAATATAGTGTACAATTATTAATAAATTTAAATAAACATATAAAATAATATTTTACTTACCTTTATTGAAGATTGGTGATGGCATCTGGAAGATAGGAAAGAGGAGGGAGGGAGGTGGGGTTAGTGTTTGGAAGGGAAATCCCCTCTATAAGGACTAAGTATCAAAGCCCTCTCTGGGGTTACTTCCTTTCTCTGTCTTTTAATGCCACTAGGACCAGCTCGAGAGTCACTGGACCCCTGTCTCACAAAATAACTGTCCACAGTCCTCTGTTTCTGGCACCTCTTTAAGATTTCCCTAAAATGGGACATGGTTCTGTCACTGAACTTGTTGCAAAGATGGCTTGTTTCAGCTTGCTCAGGGTGGTACTTCTCCACAAACGTTTGGACACTTGGCACATTGGACCCTGGCTTCAAAGCTGCAGAACTACAGGACGGACCCTCAAAGGGTTAATTAAATCAACCATATATTATAGAACCTTAATACTGTTTTGTATACTAATAGTACACTGTGAAGTTCCTATGTATACTCTTTATCAATATCAATAATAAGTGGAGTAGAGATGTTTTTGAGGGTAATGTGTGGTACGAATACTAGGCAGAGAATCTGAAGTTGGGAGATTAGGTGTGGAGCTACCAAAAATATTATTCAAAGGGCTGAGGAGGAGTTGTTGAAGTGGTTTGGTCATTTAGAGATGGAGAAAGATAGAATGACTAGGAGGGTGTATAAATCTGGGGTGGATGGGAGAAGGTGTAAGGGTCATCCAGGGAAAGGTTGGAAGGGAAGGGTGGTGTACAGGAGGGCTTGAGTGATAGGGACTTGAATGTCCAATAAACTTGTGTGAATATATTAGACAGGGATGGAGGCATTTGGCTTTTATGATTTGACATGCTGCTGGAGTGTACGCAGGGTAATAGTTATAAGGGATTCATGAAAACCAGTTAGCCAGACTAAATTCCTTTAGGTGGGATATACAATGTCTGCACTCTGAATGATAAGTGGGGATGTTGTTAGTTGGAGTTATTTCTGAACTGTGATGTCTGCTTGCTTCTGGTGCGACAGTGAATGAATGATTGATGGTGAAAGTGTTGTCCACTGAGAGATGGTTGGTGTGCTAAAAAAAAATAGTAATCCAGAATACTACATAATTTTTACACAGCTTGGCCCAAAGTATTTTAGATTATAGATGCTCTACTGTACATCCTTGAGTAAAAGATACGTACAGACACTGCAACCTGTGCTGCAATTACACCATCCACTGGAGACTCAGCAAAGGGATCAAAAGTCTTGTCAGTACGTCTCATGAAATCAGGTTTGAGAAGGTACCCACAATTTCCATTGTACTCAAACTTGCCCTGATTTAGTTGCATGGGAAGATCTGGGGTTTGAAAATTTAAAGACACCATTTGGCAACCTGCATTCCAGAACACCTGTGAAAGAAACATCATGTATGTCTTATTAATACTTTACTACTTTTTGAAAATTCAATATATACACAATTGATAACATTGTTCATATAAAGAATAAAAAATAAAAAGGCACAATACTGTGACTCGAACAATACACAAATATCCCACACATAGGAGAAAGAAGCTTAAGATGACATTTTGGTCAGACTTGGACCATTGACAAGTCACACAGTATAGTACAAACACTACTTAAGAGTTCTGCATAGCTTTGTTAAGAGAGGATAATGGGGACTCTGTTGACAGTTTTAGAGAGTTAGAACATTCAGAAAGTTGAGATTCATTTTATAACTAGCTACAAATTATTCTTTTTAAAATAGTTATCAAGACAATTACACACCTGAGGCATATAATTAGAAGAGTCAACTCTGGCACCCTTGGGATAGATTCTGGACATTTGTCGTTTATTATAGTTGACAAATTCAATTGCCTGTGTTTTGAGGTAGCCTAATCCCATAGTCTCCGAAAAAGAAGACATATTATGATGCACATTCTTCTCTGCAATTCAAAATATTATAAAATTAAAATTGTTCACAGATACACATTATGGTTCATAACATTTATAATTTGACTATTGTTTTAAAACTTAATTATTGTACAGTATTATTTGTAAAATACAAATTTTTATAAGCCTACAAAATACAAAAATGTTCAGTATGAAAAATTTTAAATTTACATATTAAAACTGCTGTGATCAAAAACATGAATTATACAAGATTTGAAAATTTTTGAAAATGTTATGTAACATACACATATGGTAGGGCCCCACTTATATGGCAGGTTAGATTCCAGGCTACCACCGGAAAGCGGACATCACCGGAAACCAGAGCACCTTTTTTAATGGATATTAATGCCAATAACAATTTACCTAACATATACAGGGGTCCCTCAATGACTGTAAGGCTCGAGAGTCGAAATTTTCGAAAATCATAATGTTATTTTCGTCAAAACATTGGCCAGCGAATTGTCGTTTGACTCGCAAACAGTCGTTCGTCTGGGACACGTACACACAGCCCCGAGCTGCCTCACACTCCATTCCCAGCCAGTGTGCCATTGTTTATCAGTGAGTGAGGATGATCCCACAAGTTACATACGATACATTTCAAAAATTCTATTTTGTTTATAGTGCTAGCCCTTGCTAAATAAGTCCACCCACGCACCAGGCGCCAAAGAAAGCTTCCTAGAGCTAGCCTTTGGTAAAGAATGTGGAAACACACATAATTAAAGAAAAAAGTTTGTAAAAAATATGAAGGTGGTGTGTGGTAGAGTGGAAGCAGTTGTTATTGTGGTAAGGGAGCTAGCAGTTGTGATAGTGTAGATGTTGCTAGCAGTTGTGATCGTGGTAGAGGTGCTAGCAGTTGAGATAGTGGTAAGCGGTGCTAGCAGTTTTTATAGAGGTAGAGGTGCTAGCAGTATTGTGGAAAGTTGTAGAGGTGCTAGGCAGTATGTAAAGTGGTATAGGATTGCTAGCAGTTGAGTGAAAGTGTAGAGGGAGCTAGCAGTAATGTGATAGTTGATAGAGGTTTCTAGCCGTGGGTGATAGTGTGAGAGGGTGCTAGCGAATGTTTATGTGAAAGTATGTTAGATGGTGCTTAAAGCAGTGTGATAGTGGTAGAGTTTAGCAATCAATAAGTGATATTGTGGAAGAGGTTGCTAGCATATTAGAAAGTGGAAGAGGAGTGCTAGTAGATAGAAGAAAGTGGACTTAAGGGTGCAAGCAGATGTTAAAGTGGGTAGACGGTGCTAAGGAGGTTATAGATGATCGAGTAGAGTGTCTAGCAGTTAGAGATAGTAGTAGAGTGGTGCTAGCAAGATAGTGGATAGTGGTATACAGTTGTAGAGATGGGAGAAGAAGTGGTAGTGATGGAGGAATAGGTATGCTCATCATTTGTGATACGTGTAAATGGTGGTAGATGATGGTTGGTAGCAGTTGTGCTTGTGGTAAAGAGGGTGGTAGTGATGTGTAGAGGGATACCTGTAACCTGGAGGTTTATTCACGGGATACAACGCCCCCTAGCGGCCCGTCCCACGACATCCTCCCGATGATCATGGCCTGATTCAACTAGCTGTTACTGCTGGCCGCACGCAGTCGACGTACAGCCACAGCCCGTCTGATATATAGGGTGCTAGCATGTAAAAGTTGGTAAGGGTGGCAGTGATGGTGTAAGAGGTGCTAGCAGTTGTGATAGTGGGAGATGGTGGTAGCAGTTAGGTGATAGTGGTATAAGGTGTAGTGAATGGTGGTTAGAGGGTGGTAGTGGTAGTTGGTTGTGATGTGGTTAGAGGGAGCCTTCTTCAGTGATTCACAATTTCTACCAACTCTCCCACTCTTGTTTGTGAGTTATATAGGCTTACAGAATACACCACTGCCTCCGCTGCTGCTCACCACCATTATGACGGCTTAACTCTCAGTGGCCCTTAGTACACTCACAACAACACAACACCTCTCGTGACATTCACGACTAATTTATTCATTCTAGAGTACATATATTCCATGTTTCTAGTTAATTGAATATTGTTTCTTATGTCATATTAGTTGAATTGTGATAAGATAAATAAGCTGTAGCGTTGATATTAGTGTCATATTCTCCAACAATACACTCGCCACCCCTAACCCTCTGCCACACACCAATCAAAAGTCTTCAATAAAAGTAAGTGTGATTTTAATTGATCATTTATACATGTTTATTAGTGCTTTACATATATTGGCATTCCTTTGCTCATGTAAATCTATATTTATGCAAGATACGTGACCCCTGAAGTGACCCTAGAACCTTATGGAAGGGGGAATCCCCTTCCAAACAAAAACCTCTCTTCCCTCTCTCCTCCTCCCTGTCTTCCATTCATCAACAACAGCCTTCAATAAAGGTAACTGTCATGTTGAAGCTTCATTCTTTTGTGCATGTAAGTCTATCTTTAAGGTAAAAAAAAAATTGTTGTTGATACTTCTGGGTGTCTGGAACAAATTAATTGGATTTACATTATTTCTTATGGGGAAAATGGATTCGAAAATTGTCAATTTCGATAATAGTCACACTTCCAGGAACAGATTAATTACGAAAAATGAGGGACCACTGTATTAGGTTAGCAACAGAACTAGGCATCAAAAACAATAAAAAGTAAAATACACACACAGTACACTCATTACTTACCTTAAAATATTTGTAGTCTTAATGTGGGGTGAGAGGTGAATAGTATCTATCTGTAGGAAGTCAGGTGTGGGAGGTGAGTAGTATCTATCTGTAGGAAGTCAGGTGTGGGAGGTATGGTAGCCAGCCAGGCCACCCCACCCACACGTAATATACTATGATATTTAAAGTGCCCAGTGATAAAATGCATATACGTACAGTGCACTCATTACTTAAAATACTTGTAGTCTTCATGTAGGGTGAAAAGTGAGTAAACGAGGTAAATCTGTTATGGAGCTATAGGACCCAACATGTATTTTTGTAACTAAGTAGCAGTTATTCACTTTGGAATACGTAATTATATTAAACTGCTGGGGGCACAACTGTTTTAACCCGTAAACAGTTCAAACGTATATATACGTTCACTACCCCAGTGGTGTGCCGTGGTAGCGGGTGGGGGAGGAATATTTTTGAAAATAAAAAAAATAGTTATTTTTAACCTTTGAGGTTCTGTGCTGAGTTTCTATGCTATACGGTGAGGGTCCAAACTGTAGGTCTACGCCACAAGCTCAGCTCACTCTGATAAGCTGTGAGCGGTAAATTTAGGCCTAGATATGAGAGAATACATCTATGTGGTATGTGTGCACCACAAAACAAATCCTGCAGCACATGGTGCATAATGAGAGAAGAAAAACTGCGACCGAAATTTTTATTAAAACAGCGACTTGCAGTGGTTTTTCCGGAGCCGTTTTTAGAGTTGTATTTGCAATTTCTTGGCTCATTTGATAGAATGGAAAGATATATTACAGAAATAAGAGATTGTTTTTATTGGTGTTAGTAATGAAATGGTTGAAACTGAGCCTCAAAAATAGCGAAATGTAAAATTTTGCTGATGTTCAAGAGTAAACAAATGAACCACACGTCTCAATACAGCACCTGCTTGGTTGGTCTAATATACAATTCACAAATGTGGTGATATTTTTATACAATTATTACAGTATTGATAACAGTTAATCTTCCTATTTTTGGTTTTGAATAAAAATTCAATTAGGTAAATAAAAAATCAGAATGAAATTCATTTTAAAGCCTAAAAACAATACTAATGAACAGAGGAAATTTAGTTTAGTTCCAGGAATGCTGCATAGTTTATTCTGGGAGACTATTTGAAATAAGAATATTTTGAACTTTGCATTAAATTGGGCAAAAATTACGAAACCATTTTCCAATTCACTTTATATTGTAAAGTTGAAACATTATGATTGGCAATTTTCTTGTCTCAATGATAGAATATAAGTAATACTAATGAAATAGCTAAGAATTTTGTCGAATGGAGTAATATAATTGGCCTAAAATGGGAGTCAAAGTCGGCAAAATCGCTGATGCATAAATATCGCTGACACATCAAAATTTGCGAGAGCATAATTTCATCAATTTTCCATCAATTTCATACTTTTTGTTTTATTAACCTTCAGAAAAAGATTCTCTACCATTTTCATAAGAAAAAATAACAAATTCTTTTTTGAAAATTCTTGGACACAGGTGAGCACTTTGAAATTTGGCCTTTGGACCCTGAAAGGGTTAATGAAAATAAAGAGCACATTTTTCTAACTGTTCCAGGATAAAAAAAAAAATTAGGGTCAGTACTTACAGAGAATATAAGCTGAAATTGGCACTGGATGCTCAATGACGCAACCTAGCAGTCCTGCTGCTTGTCAGAATGTTGGTGATATACCTTTTTTTCTCTTTTATTTCATATTATTTATAAAAATTAACTTCAGAAAATTACAATTTATAGTAGTTCTTGTTATTTCCTAACCTATCTATGTTCTGACAACTAACTAGTAACTGACAATTGTACTCAAAATGTCACTAACACACAGACAGTTGGACATTTACACCTGCCCCGGCCATACAAAGTACTTATAGGTCTTCCAGCAATGTTTGAATATGTTTTGTGAGTGTGTGGGGGGTGGAGGAGAGAAGGAGGAGGAGGAGGAAGGAGGAGGAGAAGGAAGAAGGAAAGGAGAAGAGAGAAGGAGGAGTGGGAGGAGGAGTGAGGAGGAAGGAGAGGAGAGGGGAGGAGGAGGAGAGGAGGAGGAGGAGGAGAAGAAGAAGCAGAAGAAAGAAGAAGAAGAAGAAGAAGAAGAAAGAAGAAGAAGAAGATGAAGAAGAAGAAGAAGATGAAGAACAAGATAAGAAGAAGATGAAGAGAAGAAGAATGAAGATGATGAAGCTGAGATGAAGAAGATGAAAGATATGAAGATGATGACGATGATGATGATGAATTGAGACGATGATGAAGATGATGAAGATGATGATCATGAAGATATATGATGATTATGAAAGATGATGATGATGATTGAAGATGAA